TCGGGGAAGCCCTCGTCATAGTCCTCCTCCTCGAAGATGTTGTTCACATAGTTGGAGCTGGAGTCCCCATCGGGGCTGTGGTTGTGGCACTCCTACTCCTCGGGCATGGGGCTCTCTGGCCACAGAGTGGCCAGTTCCAGGCCCTTGGACACACAGTCCTCCAAGGGCAGCTCCACGTCTTCGCTCCTAGCCATGGGAGACAGGGCCTGGCCTCGCCCTGTGGTCCAACAAGCCGCTCCCCGCACTCTCACGCTTCCAGTGGGCCATGGCAGGCACTCACGAAACCATCATCTCCTGGAGGCAGCCACTGTGGGAGGAACATTGGGAAGGACAGAGTCAGAACCTCACAAAGCCCGGCCACGCACAGGGCCACTCCAGCCTGACGGCGCTTCCCACTCCATTCTCCAACAGCAACGTGAAAAATGACAGCTGAAGGCTTTCACTGCAGCAATCTTTTAAAAAAAACTGAAAACATTAATGGGTTTGAATATTCCAGGAGCAAAAAAAAAAAAAAAAAAAAAAAAAAAACAAAACAAAACCTGAAAACGGCCTAAGTACCCACAAATACAAGAATGATTAAATAAATGACAGCAGAGTTTGCATGCTGCAAGAGTCAATGGCATTTTTAAAGAGGCAGGGCAACATGCACCACAGTGATGGATGTTAAAGGCCTGTTTTGGAAAGAAAATGGCAAGTGAGCTACAGTCAGCACACGTGTGTAAATCCCAGTTCCAGCTCCTACAAGATGGCTAGAGAATACACACACAATCCCCAGCCCATACACAGACGTAAACACACACAGAAAGGGGGAGCCCCGCAAAGGCTTCTTAGCCATGTCCTCTGGGGAGGGGACGAAAGAGAGGTGGGAACAGAGGGGGCCTGCACATTTTACTTTATTAAAGATATTTGTACTGGTTGAGTCTTTTACCAAATCACATTTTGTTATTCACAAGCATCACAATCAAACCCACCTGTGTGTCTTCGAGGGTCTCCTCTTCTAGCTGGGGAGATGTCAGCCTGGGACAAAACAACCCATGGGGAAGGGCAGACACTGAGGGGAGGAAGCAGGACTTCCCACATCAGCCACGGCTCTGGGAGTCAGCAGAGGTGGCAAACAGGCCAGTCTCCTCCAGGAAGGCAGCCACTGGGGCAGAGGGGCCAGCCTCCAGGCAATGGGGACGTGAGCACACCCCAGGGCACAGCCAGAGACACCGAAAACACAGGAGGCAGCACTGACCCAAGGGAGGGTGGGACCAGGGGATATGTGCTGGCCAGGACAGCTGGGGGCACGCAGACGGGCAGTATTTATTTGGGGAAGACTCAATCATCCCATTTCATTCAATGAGTAGTTTGTGTGGCGGAGGGGGTGGTGGTGGTGCGGGGGTGGTGCTGTGCCTGATATACAGTGTGTGTGGTGTGGTGGGTAGGGAGTGTGTAGTGTTGGGGGCGTGTGTGTGTGTTTGTGTGTACAGTGGCGGGACTTCGTGGAGGGTGTGGTGAGTGTGTGGAGTATACTGTGTATGGTGTGTTGTATCTGGTGTGTATGATGTGAATGTGATGTGCGTGTGGTATGTGTGGAGTGTGATGTAGTGTGGAAGGGTTCAGTATTTTTTGTGTACATGATGTAGTGTCTGTGGTGTGTGCTTGTATGAGGTACGTGTAATGTGTGTGGTGCATATGGGTGTGTGTGGTGTGCATTACATGTGTACTGTGTATGTATATGTGATATTGTGTGGGGGTTTGTGTGTGAATAAGTTGTCTGGAAGGTGGTGTGTTGTATGGGTGATGTAGTATGTATGTGGAGTGTGGTGTGCTGTGTGTGTGGTATTTATAAACTGTGTGAGGCGTGTGGCATGGATGGGGTGTGCAGGTGTATATGAAATGTGTATGGTGTTATTTAGTGTGTGTGGTGTGTGTGGCATGTGCGTATAAGGTGTGTGTATGGTGTGTGTGGTATGTATGGGGTATATGTGGTGTGTAGTATGTGTGAAGAGTGTATGGTGTGTATGAAGTATGTGTGTGGTGTGTATGTGGTACATATGGGTTAAGTGCCTGGTGTGTGTGAGGTGGGCATGGTACATATGTGGTGTATGTGATGTGGTTATGATATGCACGTAGTGTGTATGGGATGTGTTGTGTGTAAGGGGTATGTGTGTGGGGTGTGTGAGGTGGATGTGGTATGTGTGTTGTGTATATGGGTTGAATGTGTGGGGTGTGAGGTGGGCATGGTGTACATGTGGTGTGTGGTATGTGGGGTGGGTATATGTGTGTGGTGTGTGAGGTGGGTATGATATGTGTGTGGTGTGCATGCTGTACATGAATTAAGTGTGTGGTGTGTCTGAGGTGGGCATGGTATATCTGCAGTGTGGGGTATGTGGGGTGGGTATATGTGTGTGGTGTGTGGTGTGTAAGGGGTGTGTGTGAGGTGGGTATGTGTGTGGTGTGCATGCTGTACATGAATTAAGTGTGTGGTGTGTCTGAGGTGGGCATGCTATATCTGTAGTGTGGGGTATGTGAGGTGGGTATCGTACGTGTGTGGTGTACCTGGGGTGTGTGTGAGATGGGTATGGTAAGGGTGTGCTGTGTGTGTGGTGTAGATGGGTTAAGTGTGTCTGCTGTGTGAGGTGGGTATGAAATGTGTATGGTGTATGTAAGTTGGCATGGTATATATGTGGTGTGTGAGGCGGGTATGTGTGTTGTGTGTATGGGGTATGTGTGTCAGGTGGGGATGATAAATGTATGGTGTGTGTGAGGTGGGCATGGTATATGTGTGATGTATGTGTGGTGTACATGGGTTAAGTGTGTGGGGTGTGTGTATGTGTGGTGTACATGGGTTAAGTGTGTGGGGTGTGTGTATGTGTGGTGTACATGGGTTAAGTGTGTGGGGTGTGTGAGGTGGGCAAGGTACATATGTAGTGTGTGCTGTGTGAGGTGGATATGATATGTGTGCTGTGTGTGGTATGTATGGGGTATGTGTGTGGTTTGTGTGCTGTATATGGGTTCAGCATGTGGGGTGTGTGAGGTGAGCATGGTATATGTGTCGTGTGTGGTAGGTATGGGGTAAGTGTGAGGTGGGTATGATATGTGTGTTGTGTGTGGTGTGTGAGGTGAATATATGTGTGGTGTGTATGGGGTATGTGTGTGGGGTGTGAAGTGCGCATGGTATGTGTGCAGTGTGAGGTGGATACGGTATGTGTGCTGTGTGTGGTGTGTATGAGGTCTGTGTGGGTGGTGTGAGGTGGGCATGACATGTTTGTAGTGTGTGAGAGGTATGATATGTGTGTTGTGTGTAAGGGGTATGTGTGTGGGGTGTGTGAGGTGGGCATGGTATGTGTGTGGTGCATATACATATGCGCACACATGCATACCTGTGCACTGCAAATAACAGGCAGGCCGGCAGCCAGGGACACGCAGCGGTGACCAGCTCAGCCAAGGCAGGGCTTGGGGCGGGAGTGGCCAGGACCCTGGCAGCTCAGGATCCTGGATGCACTAAGAGCCTAGGAGGAAAGAACAAGCTGCTTCACCACCTCCACCCAAGTTCATCACTAACATGAACCCATAAGCTGCGCTGAAACTGCTCCACTTGTGATTAGAACCAGAAACACTCCAGTTGGGCTCAGCACAGCCAACGGAGGTTGGGGGAACTGTCCTCAATGTTCTCCTTCACCAACTGCGGCCAGATCTACCACCAGCAGCCTTGCCAGGCAGTGCCTGCCCTGGGGAAAGGGCCCATGCCCCCAACCCAGCACCTGCAGTCCAGGGGCAACGGGGTGTGGGGTCTTGAATTGCTAAGTTTTTCCCTCTGGGTCTTATTATAAAGGGAAAGGGAAGGGGACGAAGATCCAGGCTCCAGTTCTCCGGAGACGGCGAACCCAGAGGCGACCCCAACACAGTTGCTGTCGGGCACCGGGAGGTGATGCCAGCGCCAAGCGAGGACAGGGGAACGTACCAGCGGCCCGCACAGCCCGGCGGCGGGACCCGAGTCCCCCCCCGACCCCCAGACAGCGCCTCTAGCCGGCGCTGGGTGGCCATTCGCCGCGAGGCCCCCCCAACCCAACCCGGGGATGCGAGAGGGCCGCCTAGTACCGCTGCACCTACCCACCGGTCGTGGGAGAGGGAAGTGGCCGGTAGGAAAGGAGTGGGGCCGCTGGGCTGCACCCCCAGATCCCAGCAACAGCCGCCCCGCAGCCCCGCCGAGTGCACAGGGCAGCGCTCGGGAGCACTGGGGCCGCAACCTCCGGCCACCCCCACGCATACGGGTCCCTGCAGCGCCGCGGGAGGTCCCAAGCTGCCACCTCCGGCGAGTCAGGCAGCCCGGACCCCCCAGCTTACCTGGCCAGGACGCGGGGCTGCTTCAGCGCGCTCCGTCCCCGCCCCGCCGCCGCCCGCTCGGTCCGCGAAGCCGAGCTCCTCAGGAATCCCGCGCCCAGCCGCACACACCCAACCCGGCGCCTGCGGCCCAGGGGCTACGCGGTGTGGGGTCTAATTGAGGAGGTTTTCCCTCCGGGCCTTACTAGAAAAGGAAAGGGAAGTGGGACACGATCTGCGCTCGGGTTCTCCAGCCACGGAACGCACCAGCGGCCCGGCCAGCCCGGTGGGACCCGAGTGGGAGCGCTCCCTCCCCGACTCCAACCCCCGCCACACAGCGCCTGGAGCCGGCACCAAGCGGCCCGTCGTGCGGTGACATCGCTCGGAATCCGAAGGCTGCCGCCTGGTCCCCGCTACACCCGCCCGCCGGTCGTGGGAGGAGGAAGCGGCCGTAGGAGAGGAGTGGGGCCGCCGGGCGCACCCCAAGATCCCGGCAACAGACGCCCCGCAACCCCGCGGCCCTGCGGAGTCCAGCGAGCAGCGCTCGTAGCACTTGGGCCGCAGCCTCCGCGCCGCCCCACACTCCTCCGGGTCCCTGCGGCGCCACACGAGGCCGCAAGCTGCCACCGGCGAGTCAGGCAGCCCGGGTTCCGCAGCTTACCTGGCCAGGGCAGGGGAGGGGAGGGGTGGGGGACTGCCGCAGCACGCTCCGTCCACACAGCCGAGCTCCGCAGCGAGACCGCGGGGTGCCGCAAGCGTAGCCCCGGGCGCGTCCCGGAAGTGCTGTACGGCAAGCGCGCAGGGCCGCCTCCACCGGGCGCACGCGGCCTCACCTGAGCCTGCGGAACACGCGCCCTTCGCCTCACCCTCTCTTGGGTCACTGGGGTGGGAAACGCTTCCCGGACACCGGGCGGCGGAAAGAGATGGAATAATACAGAGGATGCGTCGGGGCCGGGCGGGCACGAGGCCCTGCGCCCCCTGGCCCCAGCGCTGGGACAGTCGGTAGGGTGCGCGGGGCTGGTCTCCCGGACCCGGCCTGGAGCTCAGATGCTGGAAGGCGCTGCGCCCCCGAATGCCCCAGGGCCTGGGGAGCACCCAGATTCCCGAGACACGTCCTGGCCCTGCTGGCTGGGGAGTTGCAGGGGTCTGGTCCCGCGGGTAGAGCCGGTGAACAAGAGGCTCCCACCTTTCCACGGCCGCCGCACTGCGCCCTGCTCACTCTTACCCCCGACCACTGCAGTTTTAAGAGACGACCCTAGAGCAAGGAACCCTCAGGGATCGGGATCGCCGCCTCTGAAAGCCCCATCCGGCCCACCGCAGCTCCCCTAGGCGCGTGCAAGACCTCAAGTCTTCCCTACGGTCCCCTCTAAGCACCCCAGCACCCCGTTTCCGATACCCTGTGCTGCTTTAGCCCCCAAACCTAGGGCCTCACTCCAGGCCATTCTCTCCTTGCTGTCCTGCATGGAGAGGACCCTGACCTCCGTGGGGCTCTGGGGAGCACACACACATACATCCTCAGGGGAGTCAGTCTTCTACCCCACCGCGTGAGAAATTCCCTGGAGGCCCTGGAAGGTCGTGTCAGAGACTTCGAGGTCACCTTTGGCCCTCTGGCCCTTTCATCGAGTCCCAGGCAGATGTGGTAAGCCGTGGGAGACGCACAGGGTCTGGGCAGAGTGAGGGGTCAGGTGCCTCCCTCCCTGAGTGATTTGCCCTATTTTCTCCTTGTGGCTGGGTTAGGTGAAGCTGTGTCTGAAGTTGGGGGTCAAGAAGGACAGGGGACCTAGACGGTGAGGAGAGCCCATCTTCCTGCTGCCTTGAGGGCCCGAGCTGAGACCCTGAGAAGAAGGGGCCAGGGGAAGCCGAATCCTGAGCTGCACTAAGGTTAGATACAGTGTGGACTTGGCCTTTCCACACTCTGCCCCCACAAAACACTCACAAATCCCCAGGGCCAGAGCTGCCAGTGGCGGCTGCTCCTGGTAGGGCAGCTTTGTAGCCACAGGGCCAAAGGGCAAAGGCAGAGCTGGGGTAGGCCAGCGGGGTTTGTGACCCCTTCCCCGCTCAGGTGAGCATAGCTTACTTTCCACCTGGATAGCCATTCTGCTTACCTGGCCAACACAAAGTTTATCCAGCCTCCTGTGGCCCAGCCTTTCTCCAGTGCCAGTGATGGAAGCAACAATTACGAAGCAATGATTCCAAGATGATAAATTCAGTCATCTTCTTGCCTGTTATGTGGTCACATGCCATAGGAAACCAGACAGCTTTGCCTGCAGCTGATCCACACCACCCCCCGCCCCACCACCTCCTCCAACCCCCACTTCCATCTGTGTGAATTTGTGTGGGCGGGCAAGTTGCATGCTGTTCCTTCAACAGCCTCCCTCGAGATCTTCCCGTGGGCAGGCTCTGGGCCAGTCACTGGAAATTAAACCCCATCCCAGCATTCAGGAGTGAGTGGCTGATGTCCACAGTCCACAGCATGAAGGTACAGGCCTATGGCCAGGAACAGTGGCTCCCACCCATAATCCCAATGCTTTGGAAGCTGAAGTGGGAGGCTCACTTGAGCCCAGCAGTTCAAGTCTGCAGTGAGCTATGATCATGCCGCTTGCACTTCAGGCTTGGTGACAGAACAAGACCCTATCACTTTAAAAAAATGAAATAAATTAAATAAATTTAAAAATAAAGGTACAGGCCTGCCCCCTCACCTCACTCAGGACCTAAATCCGGTAGGCTTGAGCCAACTGCCAGTATTCGGAGAATTTTTAAAGAATCATTAGGACAAATAGCTAATGCAGGCAGGACTTAAAATCTAGATGACAGGTTGATAGGTGCAGCAAACCACCATGGGGTACATATCCCCCATGTAACAAACCTACAGGTTCTATACTTGTATCCAGGAAATTAAAGTGAAATTTTAAATAATAATAATAAAAAAAGAATCAGGCTGGGTAAGGTGGCTCACGCCTGTAATCTCAGCACTTTGGGAGGCCGAGGCTGGCAGATCACGAGATCAGGAACTCGAGACTCACCCGGCCAACATGGTGAAACCCTGTCACTACTAAAATACAAAAATTAGCTGTGTGTGATGGCAGGTGCCTGTCATCCCAGTTACTCAGGAGGCTGAGGAAGGAGAACTGATTGAACCCGGGAGGCGGTGGTTGCAGTGAGCCAGGTTCACACCACTGCACTTTAACCTGGGCAGCAGAGTGAGACTCAACCTTGGAAAAAAGAAAAAGTTGGGGGAGGCCGGATACAAGACAGTTTCTTCCTGTCTTTCTTGCTCTCTGCCCTGTGAGGATACAAGGAGATGACCCTCTGTGAACCGGGAGGTGGGCCCTCCCCAAGAACTAACCATGCTAACACCCTCGTCTTGGCCATCCAACCTCCAGAACTGGGAGAAATCAGCGTTTGCAGTGTAAGCCACCCAGTCTATGGCATTTTGTTAGAGCAGCCCAAACTAAGACACTGCCCTAATCATGATACCCTCTACGTTTCCTTCTAAATGCTTTCAAAGTTTTGTTTGTTTTTTGAGACAGAGTCTCACTCTGTCACCCAGGCTGCAGTGCAGTGGCATGATCTTGGTTCAATGCAGCCTCTGCTTCCAGCTTCAAGAGATTCTCCCGCCACACCCTCCCGAGTAGCTGGGACTGCAGGTGCACACCACCACCACACCGGGCTAATTTTTGTATTTTTAGTAGAGGTGGGGTTTCACCATATTGGCCAGGCTGTTCTGAACTCCTGATCTTGTGATCTGCCCACCTCGGCCTCCCAAAGTGCTGGGATTACAGGCTTGAGCCACCACACCCAGCCCACTTTAGAAGTTTTGCCTTTCACAACTAGATCTTTAATCAACTGGCTTTTATTTTTGATATGTAAACTAGGGATCTGGTCGTATTTACTTTGCATATGGATAATCAATTGTGCAAACACCATTTGTAGAATATTCCGTCCTTTCTCCAGTAATCTACAAAGCGACTTCTGTCTCAAGTTTCCATGTGTCATGGGTCTTTCACTGGGTTCCTCTTCTCCTCCAGTGGCTGACTTGTGCAGCCCCTGAACACTTCACTGTCCTAATTCTTTTACTATCATAAATCTTCAACCTTCCATTACCCACCGACCTCTATGCCGTTCTTATTCTTTAAAAATATCTTCATTTAAGTTCTGATAGAAGCAGACCCTGAGTCAAGGATTCAGGTGCAAGCATTTTTCAAGAAGGTGCTTCCAAGAAGCACAGGAAAGAGGGTGGGAAGTGAGACAGGGAAGGAAGAAAGCCAGCAGATGGTGCATTTATGAGCAGGATGCCATAAAGAGTAGCTGGGGCTCAAACTCACTAGGCCCTTCAAAGATACTGCAGCTGAGGGGTGGGGAAGCTGCGGGATTTATCCACCAACTCCCATTCCTCATGGCTGTTTTAAAGAGGACACAAGACTTCCTTTAATCAGGTAGACTAAGACACACAGATATGGAAATGACTGTCCTGAAGGAAGGAGTTTTTGATACTCAGAGGTCCCTAGAAACAAGTGCCAATCCGTGCTATGCAGGGATACATGCAGAGGCACCAGGGTCAGTCAAGAACTCAAAGGAGCTAGGGGAAAATGTGGGGAAGAGCTTTATTTATGGCATCCAACGGAAAGGCAAGGCCAGGCAGGGTAAGCAGGCACAGGATTAGCTCTTCGTAGTTTGAATAATTCCACTGGGCTCTGGGGCATAGGCCTGTCCCTAGTTGCCTGGTTCATGACCCTGGGGTGATGAGGGCAGATGGACAGCGGCCCAGTTTAACAGCCCAATGAAGGAGGTGGTTGGAGGTATGGGCTTTGGATTGGCTGCTTTGAAGATGGAAGGTGCACTTTCAGGTGAGTCCTTCACTGTCTCTAGGAACTGGCTCACCCTGGCTGGAGCAGTCTCTCCAGGATCAGCAAGTCCCCAGCTGTCAACACATCAGGAAATACAGGAAATGAAAAGGCATGATGAATACACTGAGGGTGCTCGTGAAGGCATCAGCCCCTGGTATGTATATGGCTGGCAATGCCGAGGGCCGTGGGGACAGCACGAACAGTGTCTGCTGCCCTATTTTTTTTTTTTTTTTTTGCGACTAAGTCTTGCTCTGTCACCCAGGCTGTAATGCATTGGCAGCATATCGGTTCACAGCATCCTCCACCACCAAGTTCAAGCAATTCTCCTGCCTCAGCTTCCCAAGCAGCTCGGACTACAGGCATGTGCCACCATGCCCAGCCAATTTTTTTTGTATTATAGTAGAGATGAGGTTTCACCATGTTGGCCAGGATGGTCTTGATCTCTTCACCTTCTGATCTGCCCGCCTCAGCCTCCCAAAGTGCTGGGATTACAGGTCTGAGCCACCACGCCTGGCCAGCTACACTGTTCTTGGCCCCTCAGTGACTACATGAATTTTCAGATCAGCCTGTCAAGTTCCAAAAACAACTCTACAGGCGTATGCCACCACACCCAGCTAATATTTTTTTATATTTTAGTAGAGACGGGGTTTTGCCATGTTGGCCAGATGGTCTCGATCCTTTGACCTCATGATCCACCAACCTCGGCCTCCCAAAGTGCTGGGATTACAGGCATGAGCCACCACATCCCGCCCAAACTCCTGGTCTTAAGTAATCCTTTCACTTCTGCCTCCCAAAGTGTTGAGATAACCAATATGCACCATCACACCCAGCACTAATCAATTTACTTAAATAAATCTCAGTTTACCCAAGCTTGGTGGCTCACTCTTATAATCCCAGCCCTTTGCAAAACCAAGATAGGTGGATTGCTTGAACTTGGAGGTCAAGAGGAGCTTAGGCAACATAATGAGAACCTATCTCTACAAAAAAAAAAAAAAAAAAAATACCAGAATGAGGCATTGTTGTGTGTGTCCGTAGTCCCAGCTACTTGGGAGGCTGATGTGGGAGGATTACTTGAGCCTGGGAGGTGGAGACTGTAACGAGCCAAGATCATGCCACTGCTCTCCAGCCTAGGCAACAGAGCAAGACTCTGTCTCCGCTGAAGTTTCAATTTCGTATTTTAAAACTAATTTGACTTAAAAAATAAAAGAAGCATGTACTAAAAGCCAAAGCATTCCAGTAGAGAATGTCATCTACACTTTCTAGATTAGGTATCTTCATATGTCCATTGACTTGTTTATCCAAGCATGGCAGCCCAAAGGAAACATATTCACAGGCAAAATATTAGCATGTGCATACTTCAGTTAGGAACTAGCTTCAAAGTACCTAACTCTACAATCTCCCCCAAAAATAAGAAAACATTTAGAAAATACATATTGGCAGCTGAGTGTGGTGGCTCATGCCTGTAATCCCAGCACTTTGGGAGGCTGAGGCAGGTGTATCACCAGGTCAAGAGATCTAGACCATTTTGGCCAACATGGTGAAATCCCATCTTTACTAAAAAATACAAAATTTAGCTGGGTATGGTGGCACATACCTGTAGACCCAGCTACCGGGAAGGCTGAGGCAGGAGAGTTGCTTGAACCTGGGAGGCAGAGGTTGCAGTGAGCCTAGATTGTGCCACTGCACTCCAGCCTGGTACCTGGTGACAGAGCAAGACTCTGTCTCAAATATATATGCATATAGATGTGTGTGTATGTGTGTATGTGTGTGTGTGTGTGTGTGTGTAGGCCAGGTGCATTGGCTGACATTAGTAATTTCAGCACTTTGGCAGGCCAAGGCAGGTGGATCACCTGAGGTCAGGAGTTTGAGAGCAGCCTGAACAATATGGTGATACCCTGTCTCTACCAAAAATAATAAAATTAGCCCAGATTGGTAGTGCACACCTGTAGTCCCAGCTATTTGAAGGGATGAGACAAGAGAATTGCTTAAAGCCAGGAGGCGGAGGTTGCAGTGAGTGGAGATCACACCACTGCACTTCATCCTGGGTGAAAGAGCAAGACTCCATCTGAAAAACTTATATACACACACACAGAGAGAGATATATAAAATATATATAATATAATATAATATAATATAATATAATATAATATAATATAATATAGAACTACAAACCACTGCTCAAGGAAATAAGAGAGGACACCAATAGATGGAGGAACATTCCATACTCATGGTTAGGAAGAATCAGTATTGTGAAAATGGCTATACTGCCCAAAATAATTTATAGATTCAAGGCTATCCCCATCAATCTACCAATGACCTTCTTCACAGAACTGGAATAAAACACCTTAAACTTCATATGGAACCAAAAGAGAGCCCACATAGCCAATTCAATTCTAAGCAAAAAGAAGAAAGCTGGAGGCATCACACTACTGGACTTCAAACTATAACTCAAGGCTACAGTAATCAAAACAGCATGGTACTGGTACCAAAACAGAGATATAGATCAATGGAACAGAACAGAGGCCTCAGAGGCAACACCACACATCTACAACCATCTGATCTTTGACAAACCTGACAAAAACAAGCAATGGGGAAATGATTCCCTGTTTAATAAATGGTGTTGGGAAAACTGGCTAGCCATGTGCAGAAAGCAGAAACTGGACCCCTTCCTGACACCTTACACTAAAATTAACTCCAGATGGACTAAAGTCTTAAACATAAGACCTAACACCATAAAAACCCTAGAAGAAAACCTAGGCAAAACCATCCAGGACATAGGCATGGGCAAGGACTTCATGACTGAAACACCAAAGGCATTGGCAACAGAGGCCAAAATAGACAAATGGGACCTAAATAAACTCCAGAGCTTCTGCACAGCAAAAGAAACAGTCATTAGGGTGAATCTGCAACCTACAGAATGGGAAAAAATTTTGCAATCTACCCATCTGACAAAGGGCTAATATCCAGAGTCTACAAAGAACTAAAATAGATTTACAAGAAAAAAGCAAACAGGCCAATTCAAAAGCGGGCAAAGGGTATAAACAGACATTTTACAAAAGAAAACATATATAAGGCTGAAAAATTATGAAAGAATGCTCATCCTCACTGGTCATTAGAGAAATGCAAATCAAAACTACATTGAGATACCATCTCATGCCAGTTAGAATGGTGATCATTAAAAAACCTGGAGACAACAGATGCTGGAGAGGATGTGGAGAAATAGGAATACTTTTACACTGCTGGTGGGAGTGTAAATTAGTTCAACCATTGTGGAAGACAGTGTGGCGATTCCTCAAGGACTTAGAAATAGAAATTCCATTTGACCCAGCAATCCCATTAGTGGGTATATACCCAAAGGATTATAAATCATTCTGTTATAAGGACACATGCACATGAATGTTCATTGCAGCACTGTTTACAATAGGAAAGACCTGGAACCAACCCAAATGCCCATTGATGATAGACTGGACAGGGAAAATGTGGCACATATACACCATGGAATACTATGCAGCCATAAAAAAAATGAGTTTGTGTCCTTTTCAGGGACATGGATCTGGAAACCATCATTCTTAGCAAAATGACACAAGTACAGAAAATCAAACACTGCCTGTTATCACTCATAGGCAGGTGTTGAACAATGAGAATGCATGGACACAGGGAAGGGAGTATCACAAACTGGGGTCTGTGAAGGGGCACTAGGAGAGGGACAGCAGGGGGTTGGGATTTGGGGAGGGATAACATGGGGAGAAATGTCAGATATAGGTGATGGGGAGGAAGGCAGGAAACCACATTGCCTTGTATGTACCTATGCAACAATCTTGCATGTTCTTCACATGTACCCCCAAACCTAAAACACAATAAAATATATATACATACATACATATACACAAATAGTAAAAAACACACCCCTGGGTTGAGATTTAACATGCTAATAAGACATGTGACACATGCACTTAGCATGTTAGATTATAGCACATGCACACCCAGGGGGCCACCCAAAACATGCATGCTAGCAACACCCTTTCATGCCACTTTTATGAATAATGATGTGAGATTCCTTTAAAGAGGGTTCCGCAGCGTCAGTTGACACTCCTCAAGCGGCCTGCTGTCACTTGGCTTTCAGAGTATACTGTCCCTTTCAGTAACTTGGCTGCTGCTTATCTATCAATGCATGTCTCTTAATTATTTCTTCCAACACAGGAATCTGGGAATCTGCCTTTGACTTGGAAGCCTCCACTTTTAGTTATCCTGCCTTTCTGGACCAAATCAATGTGTATTTTACATGTACGGATTGATGTCTCATGGTCTCCCTAAAAGGTATAAAACCAGCTGTCCTCTGACTACTTTGATCACCTGTTCTCAGAATCTCTTGAGGGTAGTGTCACAGGCCATTGGTCACTCATATTTGGTTCAGAATAAATCTTTTCAGATAAAAAATAAAATAAAATGTTTATGTCATATTTAAATAAAAGTAAGCAAATACATGATCAACTGTACAACTATTTTATTTATTTTTTTATCATACTTTAAGTTCTGGGGTATATGTGCAGAACGTGCAGGTTTGTTACATAGATATGCATGTGACGTGGTGATGGGCTGCATTTATCAGGCCAGGGGCAGTGGATCACACCTTTATCTTAAGACTTTGGGAGGCCAAGGTGGGTAGATTGCTTGAGCCCAGGAGTTTGAAACCAGCCTGGGAAAAATGGTCAAACCCCATCTGTGCAAAAGACACACAAATTGGCTTGGCATGGTGGTGCATGCCTGTAATCCCAGATACTCAGAAGACTGAGAGGGAAGGATCACATTACCCTGGAAGATCAAGGCTGCGGTGAGCTGAAAGTGCACTACTGCACTTTAGCACAGGCAACAGAGTGAGACCCTGTCAAGAAAGAAAAGGAAAAGAAAGGAAGAGAAAGAAAGAAAAGAAAAAGAAAGAGAGAAAGAAAGAACGAACTTCAAAAGTGTAGCAAGCTCTCTTTAAAAGGAAAAAAAAGAACATTTATTTAGGAAGCATCTAAAATGTGCCAGGATTCTATTTCACATTTGCTGTACATACTGTAATCATAAAATATAATTATGATGATGGCTTTCTGCCCATTCCAGGGTGTTAAGAGCAAAATGAAGAATAGATATGACCCTTTGTTCTCTCCA